CTAGGACCAGGGTTTTTCTCTATATCTAAACTCTGTTGAAATTTACAATAGTTTGATACTCGATGTTCCAGATCAACCAAACTTGAAAGACCATTGTTTTATAACAGTACTGGTCTAATTTACAGTTGCATCAAGTTCTAAGTATTCCCAAATTATGCACAGTTTTATCCCGATTTCTCTGGCATACATCATGTAAGGTTCATTTTCATGAAGATTTGATGTGAATTAAATCTAAATTCTTGTGTAGGCAGTAGTATAGGAGGCCTTTCTGGAATAAACCAAGAGGTCTGGCTCCGAGTGGCTCGGCCGAGTGAGTTCTAATTAGATATTCATACCTCGTAGGTGCGCGAGGGTGATTTTTAGGGTTAGGGTTAAATCAGTGTAGATGCACGAGGGGTTTTTAGGGGTTAGGGTTAGATTTCGCGTAGGTTCGTGAGTAGGGTTTTTCAGTTTTTAAAAAAATGAACGGTACAAAAGAAACAAAAGAATCCAAGATGGCGGTGAATTAAAAAAAAGTGAATGGACCCTATAATAGGCGTTTGGGTATCGCGGGTTAGATTTCTAACCGATTAAGTCGGAGAGCAAAAGAGGTATTTATAAGAAACCCAAAAGGTTTTCACAGCACGTGGTGCAGGTTATTCAGGACGCATGACTTTTACGTTTAAAAAATGAGTGTCGTTTAAAACCCAAGTTTCGTAAACAAGAATAGACACGTAAGATTTTTGCATATTTCACAAAAGACGATTATTTGTCACACATTGCGTTGTCATACAAGGTATTTAGAGCGAAGAACTTGAAAATAAAGGACATAGACCAAAAATGAAGGCATCAGTTGACAGTATAACCGATGGAATGTATTTTTTCTCCCACTTCTTGGTCGTAGGTTTCATTTTCCTCGATGTACGTAGTCACTTGTTTGCGCATGACGCCGAGATCATGTGTAGCGGTTTTTTTCTTTGACTATGGCTAATAATTCATCTAATATGGCTTTTGCCAATTGAGGGTTTTCTTTCATGTCTTTGCCCAAGTGTGTTAAAATAGAGTTCTTAAGACGGCGCCAAAAAACGGTTATCGCACCAAATTAGTGACATGATAAAGACAGGAGGAGGAGGAATCTTACGAGCATTATAACGCACTGCTCAATCTGTAAGAGATGTACGAACGTAAGACACAGGGATTGACAAGCTGTCAAAGTGTTCGGGTAGACCTTGTCGCTATGAACTCTTGGTAAGTGTTATAATCTCTGATTTTTACGATTTCTCCTGTGATTGCGCTCAATGCGAATGGTGTGTACTAAAAGAAGAAGAAGAAATAGCGAGAGAAGCGTTTTGGCAGGACAATTTAAAAAGAATAAGAGCACTCTAGAAACCAAAGTGGATAGACGCAATATGAATGTTTCTTATGAATGATACACAGTGTCACGCAACTACCCATACCGGTTCTAGGACAATAGAGTACCCACACTTGAAAATTAGAAGGAAATGTATGAGAGATGTAGGAAGGAATCACAAAATAAAAGCGTTGAATAAATCCTGGTTTAGGGTTAAATTGCGTAGGTTATAGGAGCGTGTTTTTTTTTCATAATTTGAAAAAAATAAAGGTCATCTAAGATGGTGTAAAAACAATAAAAATAATGAAACCTAANATCTAACTAACCATAACGCAGAATGAATAAGCGACAGTGACTAAACACAACTTTCAGAACAGATCTAGAATACCTTTTCAACTTTACGTTTATCATGTATAACTGTTTTATTATACTGCGGCGAAAGGGGTGTAGTGGTTAGATTGTTAAAAAAAGTTTTTTAGTTTGTTTGGTAATTTTTATTTTCCTACTGTAAATTATGTGTTTTTTTCCAGTGGACATCTTAAATGTATTACTTAAACACATATATTTCAACCCTTAAACAAGGCCACCAGTGGTATGAGACAGGATAAAACCGAACGTATCTTGCTTTGAAGTCAGTTCTAAGTGAATTCTTCACGATGCTTGTTTGATCTGAGTTCCCTTGAAACACCTGGAAGAAAGCAAACCGAGAAAAAAAAGAAAAGAAACTGAACACCTTGTTATAGTCCACTAATTTCATATTTCATTTAAGTAAGGAGGTGCTGTTAGGTGGGGGGAGAGGGCAGGAGGGGTAAGCACGAGGGGGGGTCCTCTGAGCAGGTCTCAACAGCTCACATCTTTCATACAATTTGTGCCCTTTTTGTTGCGGCCCAAATTTTCCAAATGGAGTAGAATTTTCTGTCACTTTTCCTTATTTGATCGCTTGTTTATTACTCGTCTTACGATACCCAGAAGTAAATGTTAAACATGAAACGATTTCTTTAGCTTCATATCTGGTGCAAACTATTCGTATTAGCCACGAACTTTTAATTTTTACGAAAAAGTGTCAATCATAGTACATTTCAAACCTTCTAGAGATGTGGTCCATTTTCCCTTGCAAAACAGGTTATCAGTTCTTCATTAATGCGTTTAAAAGATGGGTATTTTGTTTCTCGAGCTTTGAAATATTTCAGTCTAATTCGTCACGACTTTCTGTCCCACCGTAAATTCAATAACCATACTTGTGAATAACAACAATTCACACAGTTGTAGTGATACAATGTTGTAACTCACTAACGTTCATGGACCTAGTTAGAGTCCCCTTGCCCTATAACCATTATCAATAGCTGTTGATCAAATCAACCCTTTATTTACTGGTACTTCCAAACCTTTGTTGTATTCGTCTCCCCGTAGGTGTTCCAAGTTAAACCGTCAATGGATAGGCGCAGTTTATAGCTGGTAGTCCATTCCGAAAGTACCTCTCCTCCTTGAGTAGCCACAGCACAAACAGACAGCACTGATCCCATATCTACTTGAAGGTAGTCGGTTCTATTAAATTTAGTCTTAGGACACCACCCTCCTCGTCCCCTGGTTTCATTCAGTCGGCCGAGGTATGAAGCATAAAAATCATCACTCAGAGGAAACACACTGCTTGCTGTCATTCTGGCATCTGGAATTGTGTTGTTGTCTGCCACACCAACAGGCCCACATGTTAAGTATACACTTGGGCACGTATGGTATTACTTTTCTCTCGAATGTGATGGTTCACAAATGTAAACATTAAATACCTGTACAATTGCGTTCATTTCCAGTACATTCGGGCTTACAAGTACAAACGTACGATCCGTTGCCGTTCGCGTAGGTAGCATTCAGGTGACAAGAGTGATTTCCTTTACATTCGTCAATATTTGAGACACCATAAATATATTTTGCACTTTTTTCATTTTTGTTGCCTTAAAGTGGATAAAGAATCTCCTTGCATGTGCAATTATAAGAGCCCTTAGTGTTGGTACAGTTGGCTTTCATATCACAAACATGGCTTCCATTACCGCACTCATCGATATCTGTAAGTATTAGGAATGTCAACGTAACTCTTTGGACAAAAATATATCATGGATGACTAGAAATTAAGTTAAGCAAATCAGTTTTTTTTTTTTGTCTTTTTTTAAAATCTCTATTGTCTTTGAGCGAAAAGAATTGAGTATTGTACCTCGAGATCACGGTAAGTTTTCTTTTTACCTGAGCATGTGTCCATCTCTAGTAAACCCATCTTTGCAGGTGCAATTGTAAGAACAAAAGCATTGGAGCAGTACGCATTTTCGCCACCGAAGTCATTGCCACCTTCGTATTCATCGATATCGAATTAGAAAGTTGTCGAAAGAAAACATTACAAGTAGAAAATATTTGAACAAAAAGGAAGGTTTAAGGTGAAAAAAACTATGTATAAACTGATTCTGCTCTTGGTATACTGACTTAACTCTCAAGTTCAAAGCAAAATAAAAATATATCAGTTATTAAAATGTTTCATTCACAAGTCAGGAACATAACCCTAGAGGTCCTGACGGCTGCATAAACTAAAACTAGTCTAACTGATATATTTTCGAATTCTATGGTAACTTGGCTGAATGGCGCGGCATTGTAGTCAACGCGTCTTGCTGGAATATTTTGATCAATATTTGATAACACAAAGATTCAATTCACCTGTACAATTTTGTCCATTTCCAGTATATCCAGGGTAACATTCACATAAGTGTGATCCAATATTGTTTGCGCAGCTAGCGTTCACGTGACAAGAATTGTTTCCTTTACACTCGTCAATATCTGTAAAATCATAAACATAACAAAAAAAAAACTGAGTTCTAGATGCATGCACTTCAAATTACAACTCACCAATTTTTTTTTTACGATTCCCTCGACTTCACATCCGTGGTTCTTCCCCATTAGTAATCATCTAGTCTGTCTTCTACCAGTTGATACTTTTCATCACTAATACATTTGTGTCATTAAGACTTTTTATCACGGAATGTTTATTTAAAACATTTCTGTCATTTTCAACATTGTCTTCAGGCCTACACTCATCGCTATTTTCTTTAAGGCATGCTAGTAAAATAAGTCTTGCAAAGATGATAGTAATTATCTTTCTGATACCAGGGGTTTCAAAAAGAAAGGAATCTAGTACCTATACAGTTGCGTCCATTTCCTGTAAAT